AAAGAGTTAAAATTACGCAAAGAAGCTTCTTTAATATATTTGGATTGCTTTAGTTGAATACGATTTGGAGTTGTAAAGTAAACAGTTTCAAAATCCGCTACCTGCTACATTTCTTAATCTGTATGGCAGAAATTTGTTGCTCTTCCCAGGACCATTTTGTTCTTAAGATAATTTTGGAGCGTAGTTCCCAAATATCCTTCACATTCTTCAGAGACAGCCATTGATTTTGTCGAGTTTCCGAAAACATTTTGAAAATGCGGAGAATATATTTATATTGTTTGCCTCACATACATGTGTGCATGTGTGCTTGCCTGAAACAGATGTTTGTTTTACTGTGTGCTTTTTAATAGAAAGTAATGAAAGCTATAATTATATTAGGGCAGCTTCTTATTATTATAAGGTTCTTAAATTATTTATCTCTCCATTTCAGATAATTGACAAATCAAAACGAGATTGTCAAGAGGAAGTAGAAATCCTACTGCGATGGGGTTACCATCCCAACATTGTCACACTACGAGACGTAAGTTTGGCAACGGTTCGAATATGGTGACAAAATTAATTAAGAAAGAAATTAGAAAATGACTTCAAGTTCGTGCTTTTGAGGAGGAGTGGTAACACTTTCAATGCAGTATTTTGAAATGCTGTGTGTAGAATTTAAAATAATAACACACAGTATACTTAAAAAATTATGTTTGGTATTAGCTGATAGCTTACAGCGTGTGATATTCAGTAGACGATTATGAACATACGTACAGACCTGGTATAATTTTTTTTAGTGAGTTTAAAAGTAGAACACGGTGGTGATACAAATCTTATAAATATTCCTGGAAATGTTGAGAAATTTCACACGCAGTTAAAAATAACAACACTGAAGCTGCTTGAAACACACATCCAGCACAAGAAACAGGAAATTTCTTGACCAGCTGAGCAATTATCAGCTTCTTGGAATTTGTTTCTGCTGCAACCGGCGTAGGTCACTGCATGTATGACTTGTTTCACAGGTGTACGAGGATGACAAATCAGTTTATCTGGTGATGGAGCTGATGAGGGGCGGTGAATTGCTTGACAGGATACTTAGACACAAGTTCTTCTCTGAAAGGGAAGCCAGTGCGGTCATGCAAGTTGTTGTTTCTACTGTCCAGTACCTGCACCAACATGGGGTGAGCTCTCTTTATCTTTCGTTGAAAAGATGTGTCATGCAGTAAGCATTTATAGGCTACGTATGATCTGAGGTTTTCACAGCTGTGAGTTAACTATGTATCAGTTCTATTATGAAGTCTTTGTGGCCGTGAACAGACACGAAGTTTCGTGTTTCTGCTGAAAGTTAGAGCTGTGCTTCAGAGCGGGCGTAATTTAAGGGGCAAGGGTTAATACTGTGGAGACAGATACACAGTTTGGCCGAAACGGAGGAAGTCTCATGAGCTAAACTGTACCAGCAACTGTTCTCCTCTGTCAGTCCCCGCTTGCCGGTCTGTCTTTCATGAGACGTCTGTGCTAGTGGAGGTAGCGTCACTGACAATAGCGGAGGAAGTTACAGTTTTTTGTGTTTTTTGTTTAATTGGTTACAAGGATAGTTTTAGCCTCACAGAGCTCACGAACAAAGTCCTCATACCTGAGCTTATAAAAGACCTCAGTAGAATTAAACTTCAGTTGTATAGGCCGGACAGAAATCTTCACTCTTAATTTCTGCGTTTTTAAAATTTAAGTAGTAATGTTTGAATTTTGCATGGATATAACACGTCTTAAACCTTTTCCTAGGTTGTCCATCGGGATCTGAAACCATCAAATATCCTGTATGCGACAGAAGCGGGGAATCCGGAGGCGCTACGCATTTGTGACTTTGGGTTTGCCAAGCAGCTAAGGGCAGAGAATGGTCTTCTTATGACCCCATGTTACACGGCCAATTTCGTAGCACCAGAAGTGTTGAAGCGACAAGGTTATGATGCGGCCTGTGACATCTGGTCTCTGGGTATTCTCCTCTACACCATGTTGGCAGGGTAAGTAAAGTTTCGTGTTTTTATTTGCGGTAGATGAAGTATTCTTAGGAAGTAGTGTTGTAAGTGTTAAATGGGAATGTTTTTACAGCTTATTAGAAACGCATGGCTGAAAACAGTTTCGAGGTTGAAGTACACCGCTCCCCGGATATAACGTAAGTCTTACTTCCAGTCTGTTTGGAGTAGAATTGATGAATTGGAAAAATTTTGTGGGTATCGGTTATAGCGCGTTTGTCTCATAACACGGGTCAAAACCCGCCCCCCCTGAAACCCCGCGGTATAATCGGGGAGCGGCGCAATTGCTTAGTGGGACGTTTTTAATTGTCCGTGATTTCTGTCGTCATTTTCCACAACTTGATGACTGATTGTTGGTGCGTACTATTATAATATTTGTACGGTAATCTTGAAATCAGCGAGACTTTAAGTAATTACTGCAAAAGGAAGGGTAATGTTGCTCTTCTGTGTCACCACTGTTTAGACTCGTAGGTGGATAATGTTCCTGAGAAAGATAACTGTCTCCATCTTCAGGGCTGAAGTGGCAATGCTGGATGTGTTTTATAGGGTGAGAGGAAGGGGGAGTTGCCCAATCAGAGATAAGGGATGATTTGGAAGTGATCTGAGGCACTAGAGAGACAGAGAGGCAGAGGCGCTAGGTCAGGGAGAGACAGTCCCCCCTCCCTCTCCTTCATCCGCACTGGGAAACGGTTCAAAGATTAAGCTGCAGATTTTCAAACCAGACGTTACTCACGAATATAATCAGCACGTGAGAAGTATTATTTTGGTTGATCAGGTATGCAAGTATATCCAGTGATGTGTAAGACCAAAAGGTGCCTCAAAAACTCTTCAACCTCATAATCTGGATACCCCTGAATCCAGGGTAGAAAGTCACATCTAGAATTCAGACTGGGAATACCCGGAACTCGATCAAAGAGTACCGTGTGCAATGCTCTGTACATTTTGTAGTAAGAATTCAGCATCACCTGCCCTGTCTTTAAAAGAAAGATATTTTGCCACTCACATCCCTCCCACAGAGAAAGAAAAACTACAGAAGTAGCTGATGTATAATGTGAAATAGCGAGGGTGTCCTACAGAAAGTGTGCAGTGTGCAGAGACATTATCTTGTGTTTTGAGATCTGTCACACTCGCCACATCATCCAGAGACGAGATAATGTTGTTTAATATAATATTAATAATTTTCAATTACAAAATTCCATTTGACCACCACCAAAATAAATATTACATCATCCGGTATTCTTTTCTTCTTCTTCTATGGCTCTCCGGTCCATATTCAGTCCATGGCCTCCTCAATTCTCCTCTTCCATTCGGTCCTCTGTTAGGTCCGTCTGTCCGAGACTTTGATCAAGGTTTCGAAACATCTTCTTTTTTATGGTGCAAGGTTGTTAGCCTTGCGACCAACCCCCAACCTGGAGGACCAGGGTACCTGTCTTAGTCTGACCTCTCCCCCCTCGACCAATCAGGCTAGGGTGGCCCTACCAGTAGCTATGCTACGGACACTGAGGTACTCAAGCCCCACCACCACGACAAGGTGCAGGTACCATTATTAGTTGCAGAAATTTTCCATAGGTAACCTATGCTAAATGTTTTTGGTCCATAACTGTGAAAGGGTTAAGTAATACGGACCTTAAAATAAAATAAAACGAAAGAAACTCACATGTAGTAAAACTCTTATATCATCAAAATCAACACGTAAAAGCACTTAAAAAAATGCGCAATATTTATTTAGACTGTAACATAAAGTTTCCCCCAAAATGAACTAAAATAAATTAAATTTACAAATGTTGTTATGAATACCAGTGCATTCCTATTTCCACGTATTTAATAACAGAAATAGAATTTCTTGGAAACAGTTTTGATATCGCACCGTGGGTTTGGCTGCAAGGCCTACCAAAATGCATGGACATTTGTACGCGGGGATCAGTCTGCTTTGGGATAAAAGTATCATGATCAAAGATAAATCAGCATATCGAGTAGTTTCATAATTCGTGCTCTTCACAAACATTGTTAGGACTGTCAAATGAAGGACTACGATGTGTTCGGGGCACGTATCACGCGTGGCATTTTAGAGTCCTGGACACAGTGCGTTCGCTGTCCTCTGTAGCAGCTGTGTGTTGACGTGCACGTTTCTTTGAGCGGACAGCCATTTCGTTCCGAACAGAGAAATACTCGCACTTGGCCTGTCATCAGGGCTTTGTGTGCCTCAAGATGAAAGGACATTTCATTTTATACAAGTATAAGATATTGTACTTTAAATTATAGTTGAGTGCACTAATATCAGTGGAAGTAGGTTACTTAGTTGTGTGCGTTATATTTTATTTTTTGTATTCTTTAATCCCGCCTTGACCCAGTGTCATTGTTTGGTGAAGGAGGCAGAATTGCCATCTCAGACAACATGAGTGATGGAAAGGGTAGAAGAATTAAGAGTTTAATCTTGATATTACAGCTCTGCCATGTCCACAGGGGCCGCGCTTTGGAGACGATACGTTTTTACCAAAGTTTCGTAGGAGAAATACGTGTTTTTACAGTTCATCTCAGCGCTATACAGTGCGTTTACGAAGTGTACGGGTCTAGTATAGTTGTGTGTTTTGTGCACAAAAACAAGAATAAATGCCTGTTCAAATATCCGTGGCCGCTTCGTTTTCGAGCTATGGCCCGTAAGATTACGTAACTTAAACCTGCTGGATTTTTATGTATGACGCTGTCTTTAAAGTATTGTGTTTGCTGTGGCAGTTGATGTAGCATCACTACAACAGAGGCTGAGCATGTAGCACGGGGAGATGAGAAATGCTTAAAAATTTAGTCAGGAAATGTGAAAGAGAGAGACCACTTTGTACTCTGTGACCGGTGAAGGTTCGAACCGGCTACCTCAAAAATACAAGCCAAACTGTCAGGTTAATTGCTTGATATTGTGGGGCTAAGCCAGGTGGTTGGTCGTATTCTGAGGTCGACAGTTTTCGGAATCTTTCGGCATCATTCGAGACGCACATTTCATATGGCCTCCCGTGTTATATTTGTAGTTTGTTTAACGACGCTTTTGAATAGCTTGGACTATATAACCTTCCGCTGTTGTTCAGAATTTTTCACACTGTGCATTATGTTATGGTGCAAACAGAAGACGTAGCTTGTAATTTAAATTTTATATTGTTTTCACGTTCAGTGTAGTTAGGTTAGTATTTAATTTTCAAGTGTGTTTTATAGTAGTGTGCGTCGTCTTGACCTAAATGGAGATTTCTCTAGAAATATTCTTTATTTCTGTCTTTCTGCCGTTATTCCCTTTTGCCCTTGTTTGCTTCACTCTGTATTGTTTTTCTTTCATTTTGCCTTTGTTGTTCGTGGCTGAAGATAAAGAACAAGAACTCCTGTCTTAGTGATGCGAACATCAGCGCTGTTATATTAGTCCGTTTCCAGAATGTAATAGAATTCCCGTTTTCCTAATGCCAAAGCTACAACGCAGTATACAAATGATCTTCCTTGAAGCACGTGGTTTTTCGTTTCTAGGAACCTCCTTCACATTTCTCATGTTGCACGACTTGAATACCGTTTCTGTAATTCTCCGTCTGCCTCTGAACAGTACGTGACCATCCTAACGTTTCCTTCCCAGTAATAAACAGTTCAGAAAGTTGTTCCTAATCTCAGCGCAGTAACTCCCTAAGGTCTCGGCGGTGACCTGTATTTATAGTGGAAAGGTGTGGTTCATTTCGGATGTGACAGTGTTTGGAAGCGCGTGTTTTCGAAGTTTGTCAGCTAAGAGAGTTTGCCACCACATGGCGCATCCTCGCGTTGCGGGTGGAAAAGGCTTCCAGATATGGAGGGTGTGTGAAAATATCGAACAAGCAGTCGGGGGCATCGGAAAAGTAATAGTCTTCCAGCTTGGGATTTGGGCGGACTTTGACATATTCTCTGGGACGAACTGAGTTACAAAAAACGGACATGAGATTTGGAGCTTGGAATGTCAGGTTAATTGAAAGCGTAATGAAGAGACTTAATTACATAAAGTTAAATCTATTGAGATTACAGGAAGTCAATTGGAACATGGACGTCATTGAACCAGCAGACGATTATAAATTAGGACAGGCTTAGGGGTTGTGGACTGCATTTATCTAGCTCAGGATAGGGGCCAGTGGCGAGCTCTTGTGGACACGGTAATGAACCTTTAGCTTCCATAGAGGACGGGAAATTGCTTGATTTTTGGCTTCTCAAGAAGGACTCTGTTCTGTGGATTTAGATAATTCACATATATTCTTTTTACAACTTCTCGTTTACGCTGAAGTGAACGAATAGGAGAGGAAGCGATCGCGGCTTATATCAAGATTTTCCCCACATTCATTCTGAGAAACAAAAGAAAACAGGAAAGATTCTATCGTGAACGAGTCTCGAATCCGGCGTTTCTTGAGTAGGCCTACATGTTCTACGTGGCAGCATTTGAACTGACCTGTGCCATTTTAATAACTGAAGGTGTGTACTTTTTGAAAGAGTCTTGATCTAGTATTGTTAGAAACAGCAAAATCTACCGCTCCCACAAGATATTTTTCTTTTTTATTATTCTTCTTCTTCAGCCCTGGGCTTATTTGTTTGGAGAATATACATTTTTGTAATTGTATCATAAAAGGAAGCTAAGACAGAAACAAACGAAATGTGTTCCTTATTACTGAATTGCATTTCTAATCACGTACGTGAAACTGCCAAGGAGCTTAATGTTACTTCCGACAGCTGTCCTGACCAAAACAGAAACCTCAGTGGTATCAGATTCCATGCAACATTAGCTCCTGATGGGAAATTCAACAAAATCTTTCAATACCTTCCTGTCAGAGGACCCTGTGGCAAGAACTTGGGATTTATTAAAAAATGAATTCTACACTAACGAAGTGGGACGTATACGAGGTGCGATCGGAAAGTTTCAAGACTGCGCCTATAAAAACCCATACACTTATCTCAGGTATTAAATTCATCCATCACCCTCGAAGTAGTTCCCCTGGGAGTGAACA